TCTGTCGTACATTTTACTTTAGTCAGTCGACTTGTAACAGATAGTGTAAGTCTATTCTGTCGTACATTTTACTTTTAGCAGCACTTGAACAGATAGTGAAGCTATTCTGTCGTACATTTTTACTTTTAGCAGCACTTTGAACAGATAGTGAAGCTATTCTGTCGACATTTTTACTTTTTAGCAGTACTTTGAACAGATAGTGAAGCTATTCTGTCGAGATTTTTTTACAACACCTCTTATCATACCACTAGAATTATTTTCCTATACTTTTCCATTTCTGAATTATTTGCCTGTCAGTGGAATTGTTAATCAACCAGTATATACATAAATACACACAGATTCAGTAGTGATATTTCTTTCTTAGTATTTAAACAAAATACAGTCCCCAGCTTCTGGACACTATGAAATTATCACTTTTCAATTATGAACACTGAGTAAATGGCTTGTGTTGCCAGTGTATTTCTAAAAAAACATGAAACAAAAAAATATAAGACTGAAAAGCAAATCAGATTAAGAACAGCCTAAACAAACCTGGAGCTGTCTATTTCCACTTGGGACCCAGTAAATCTCTTTTTCAGGTTGGTGTATCACAGGACATCTCATCTAATCCTCAAGTTCTGGAAAATGAAACACAGTCTTGGGTCTTTTGTCAACACTACACACAATAGAAAATGTAATTTTATTATTATCATGATTAAATTAATACTTTTATATAGATATTAGAATATTGTTACTGTAACTGGTATATCTTTTTTTCAGAAGCTGCTCGGTCTCTCTTGGTTTTCTATTGTGTGGGTGTGTCTTGAAATGCACCTACCAAAATTTATCTAACAATCAGATCAGTAGTAGATAAAATGATTGGTAAGAAGATGATATCAAGTTTAACAAATGGGATAATTTGGCTATTTATCTATGGAACTTGTTCATAGTTTAATAAAAAGCTTCTCATCTGAAACTCGTAGGAACTATCCTTGTCAAGTTTATTCATGTAAAGTTCTGGACTTAACTTTTATGAAATGGACACCTATAATATCAAAGGACTTATCAATAAAATGGGAGGTTTTTTATGTACTACTGAACTTAAATAATAGTGATACAAACCACTAAGTTTAAAAACTAGATTAACAACAAAAGACATTTCAAATCGTTTGTACTTTTCTTTACAATTATGATGTAACTTAAATTTGCCACAGGACCTCGTGACTTGTAAAGTCCGATTGTCTCAGTTATTACAAATCTTTGAGTATCACTCCATAAATACAGAGACCTCACAGCTTATTACGCAGAAAACCCTATGAAATGGCATGTTAAAAAATAAATAAACTTAATGTCAATCTTTTTAAGGCATGTTTGTCACCTCTTATGACCAATTGGATGTTGGGGAATTTTACTCGCAACCCATCAATGGGTACCTTGGAATGCAACATGAACTATTTATTTGGCATTTTTTACGATACACATTTATCCCATATGACATTTGAATCATCTTGTTCCATAAAAATCTTTTATTTTAGGACCCCAGTGTTTATCTGCTTCTTTGTTTTTTTTTACTGTAATAATAATAAGCTTATTTTCTTCAAAGAGGATGGTATTCATTAAATAACAATGCTGTTAGTAAAATTTTCCACCTTAAAAGAAAAATTTGTTACATTAAAAAAAAAATTCAAGTTAATACAGATTTATCTGAAGTTCATAGCAATTATAATTTTTAAATGTGTTGAATGCTCAAATATTAGATTGCACACAAAGAAACTGTCACCCCAAAAAAAAAATGATTGTGGGTTACTTTTATTGTCAGAACAATATGTTTGAACAAATATAACTACAGAGGGCTGGACCACAATAAAGATGAAGCATTATAATCAGTTGACAAACAACAATTTATAAGCATAATGGAGTGGTTTATGTTGGGGGAACATGCAACTTGTTTCAACAGAACACTGGTCTGTCTTCAGGTATGATCTTATTATTAACTTCATATTACTCAAGTAGCTTAATGATATTTAACAGTTTAATGTAAGGGAAATGATGTCACCAGGTGACATGATAATAGATAAAGGTCAAGGCTGGTAAAGTGTATGAGCGGTGAATAAACTTTGCAAAATACGGATGATGTAGATAGAACCACTATTATGATTTAGTGAAAGATCGCTTGCTTTGATGATTTCTATAGTTTCTTTGCCAACTTATTATATTGGCATGGTACGTTTCCTTACTCAAGAATAAAATATACTTAACATAGGTTCAGAGTTACCTTTAAAGTTGTCTTCACTTAGTATGAATGAGATAAAAGAAACAAGTGGAAAAGCATATGAAAAGTCCTGGAGCAAGGTTTCTCCCCTGCTCTACTCACTAATCCTCTTCTCACATCTGTATAATAACTTTCATTTTGTGGCCATTCTCTTTGTCATATAACAAGGTGGCAGAAACTCCTGTATAATTCTTGCTTTTTCTGACCCCACCTTGAGTGTCATCTCTACCTGAAATAGGGGATATGAGGTCTGCAGTAATCACCTCTTGTGTGAAGTACAAGTGAAGAGTAGAAGACAAAGTGCTATAAAACAATTTAAAAATACATAGAAAGATGTCAAGCTTTCTGGCAATGCTCTTACCTCAAGCACCTCTCCACTGTCAAGGAAAGCTAACTCAACAACTTCTGCTAAAGAAACACCCCATGCTGGTGGAACAGTGATTCTGATAAAGCCTAGGAAGCAGGCAACCAAGCCCAGGCTGTGTTCATGTGGATAAGACATAGACATGACTCAGTCCAGGTGGAGGTGGCAAGAAATTTCATGGAATAGAGCCTTTGTTCTCTATAGGTGATCAGCTTCCAAAACACATGAAATGTAATGAACCATGTAGCCCCCATTAAATCTGTCATAATGCTTGCTTTTCAAACAATCAGCTGTTATTTGTTTACACAGGAAAAGCTCACAGATAACTTTGTGTGACCCTGTTGGCTGCTATGACTCCTGTACTTTAATTTTAATTGGTCTAGACTAGCGATGTTACATGCACAGATATATATTTTCTAACTGTATTTTTGTATTATATAGATATCCAATATTTGTAACTAATAAATTAAGTCAGTGTGTTAAAGTTTAAAGTACAAAATTGGTTATTAATTGTCAGTAAATTCAGAACAGTAAGAAGATCTTTAACAAATTTGATTGTGACCTAAATTGCATTTAATGAACTACTTTGATTTTCTGGATGACACAAGG